TTTTACACATCTGTGGCTAAAATGTATTCTTCAAAGCTTAAGTTACAAAATACTTGATTTAGTGGAAAAAGATTTTTAATAAAACATTTTTAAAACAAACATTATAGATACGTAAAAGAAAGAATGATTATTAATCAGCAGTCCCCATTATGAACTGCATAATTTGAGAGTTTGTTGTGTATCATCTTATTTCGGGTATAGTAGCATGCATGTTAATGTCCCAGTATAGTTCTGTGATGTTTATATCTGTGCTTAATGACTGCCCTTCCTAAGATCATGAATTACAATGTCTTCAAATTTATTTCCTCTGAAACAAGGAAGAACAAATGAGGCAGTGGAGTGCACTGAAGGTAGTGTGATTCTTTAGTTTGAAGCCAGATCTCCTGCATGCTAGTTACTCTCGGGATGGGTGCAGTGCTCTTAGCTTACTAAGTGCAGGAACGGAAAAAATACTAGCCCTAAGAAAAGATTTTGACTGAAGGGTATTGTATCTTAGTCTTTAAAGTTTTATAAATTGCCACAGATGCTATTATGTTAACACTATTATAATAACTAATCTTCAGTTGCCTTCCTATTGCATATAAGAGCAAAGTTTCTGCATATCTTTTGGGTAGTGACCATATGCAATTAATTCTTAGTGTTAATTTTTATCTGCATAAGACTTATTTAAAAAATAGGTGAATATACTGTCATGGATATTTATTTAGATTATTTTATCCTTTAGCCATGATAAAATTCCTCTCAAATGCAGATACAGTTTCCATAAAAGTTTCAGAACTGAAGATTTACTGTTTAACACGTTTTATCTGTTTAAAATTATTAAATATTCTGTTTTAATGTAAAGTTCATAGGATTTTTTGAAGTTACAAGGCTGTAGATTAATCTACCATGTCACCTTTACCATATGTAAACAGAACTAAAAATCTGTTTCAACATAAACTTCTCATTTGTTTTAATTAACCAAAATATTGTACTTAAATTATAATGAGTAAGTTTTTAAACTTTGGATCACTTTTCTTAGTGCGATATAACATTGGTTTGCAAAATTAGGTTTGTGGATAGCAAAGTATTTTTTCAATTTCTGCCTCTTTAAAACATAATCTTAGGCTCTACTTGAGTAGAGAAAAAAATAATGTTAAATCTTATCTTTCCTGGGTTTCCTGTCCTCCTTATCTCTATGATATCACTTTGAAATACTATAATTCCTGTTTGCATCTTAGTACATACTTGTGAGAAAGAACTCTCTCCTATTATAAGGGAGTTCCAGTCCCATGGTCTGTTAAGGCTTTGGGATGCTATGTGAAGAAATTCTAATCTTACTTTCTTAATTCTTTTTCTTAATTGCATGGCTTTTAAGACTTTGTAATATTGGAGACCTCTAAGAGTAAAAGTAAGCTAACACTGCGGTTTGGCTTCAGGGTGATGCATGTGAGTTATCACTTGCTGTGGAGCTTCCATACCTGCAAGATTTTCTATATAATTTTTCAGTGGCAAACATACCATTAAAGCAGTTAATTTTCAAATAAGTTTATTCAGAACATAGAGGTGCAAATACAGCTATGAAGTACTCCAGAAATTTCAGAGGGAAAAATCAGATCCAAATTTTTTTCTTTAGAAGTCCACAAGGTTGAGACACTGATGAGCAGAGTCCGTATGTACAAATACATGGAGAGGACACATATATTTTGTTAAAGATACTTGATCAGACCCTTTAGCCATAAAAAAAAAAAATGTCATTTGCAACAACATGGCTAGAACTAGAAGTCATCGTGTTAAGAGAAATAAGCTCAACACTTGTAGCTGAAGCAGCTAAGGCGCCAGACCCATACACCGAGCTGGCAGGTTCAAATCCAGCCCAAGTCTGCCAAACAACAATGACAACTACAACCAAAAAATAGCCGGATATTGTGGCAGGCACTTATGGTCCCAGCTACTTGGGAGGCAGAGGAAGGAGAATAGCTTGAGCCCAGGAGTTGGAGGTTGCTGGTGAGCTGTGATGCCACGGCACTCTACCCAGGGGGACAGCTTGAGGCTCTGTCTCAAAC